AATAAAATAATAATAATAATATGGTTGAAAAGTGGTTGAAGCACACACTGATTGGATAGCTCACCAAACCAGGTCCAAACTTCAGGCCATTCAAACAACTAAATCTGTAGAGAATTTACTTTTTTAGGATTATGGTTCTAGGAGCCTCAGCAGCTAGAGACTTTGTATTTTTCCAGCTCTAGTCTTACATTCAGGAAATCAATAAAAGGTAAGGAAGAACATGCCTCTAAAAAGAACAGGTAGTTCTGATAGCAGTCCCTTAGTAATTAATCTGTGTTCTGCTCATTTGCCTCTGGTTTTGGTTAGAATCACAACTCTCAGATCCACAAGCACACACCTAACTCTTTCTTCCTCACATCGTATTATTTCAAATTTCTGAATTTAAACTCCATATTTGTAAAAATGGAAAATCTTTTCTGTCTGCTTTGAGATTTACTTATAAATAGGGTCAACTGAAAGACCCCCAAACCTATAACTGACTAACCCTCTAATATGCCCCATAACCAAGTTACATTACCTCAATAACCTCATTCACAGAAACTTCATGACTGAAATCTGCAATAAAAATATCCAGTTTCAAGTTCCCAAGAGAGGCACACACACAAAGCAATCATAAATTTGATGCACATTTGCCCAAGATTTCTATCTCACTAGGTTGAAAAAGAAAAGTTTCAACATAGGATAAATCTCTGTTCTTCATTCAGTTTGAAAAATATAAGCACCAAGGATTTTGGACGTATTTATTTTTTAAACCAGAAAGGCAGCTCTCATTAAAAAGCTACCAGGTGTTCCCAGCACTATCTGTAGCTCCTTTTTTAGCTTTAATGATTTCACTGCTTATGTTACAGATGCACTCTCCAGGACCTTTCCTGGAGCATCCAAATGTCATCTCTGCACCCTAAAGCAAGTGTAAATTTGGTAAATCTGATGTTGCTATTAAAAACGTAGACTTGCACATAAAGTGCACACTTAATAGCACTGCTTTCCTTACTCACTTTCTACTGCCCATATTATCAGCACAAGCTACAACAAGGCTTGTGCATTTACCCATAGTTAGGGACAAGGGAAACTAGTGTGCAAATGCTGAACAATGGGCATTTGCACACAGCCATTTATTATGGAAATGGCGCTGCCCATAGACACAAATTTAGGCAATACCATCCCCATGAAAATGCCATTCCACATTTTTTTCTACCCTTTAATCCTGATTTACCATGGGTAGGGGGGGATGTTACTGCAGAAACATTAAATCTGGGGGTGTTGCATGTATATTGCTCAAAATATGCATGCATGATAGGCACTGAGGGCCCCTCCAGATGTCACTTTTTACTTCACATTCAATGATTATCTGTGTCCATGATGATATCAGGGCTATAATGCATGATCCCACTTTGAAAAATAATTGTAGGTGCAAAAGTTTTATGATGGTCACACCACTTCATTTCCAATCAGTAGATATCTCATAATCAGTGTTAGAAACTGGGATACAAAAGTTAGGAGCAACATTGCTCCTGGGACTTGGACTGTAGGCACAAAAACAGGATGTCTAATCGCCACTTTTTTATTTATATATAGATTTCTTTTTTAAAGACACTACATGTTTTCTGTTTTAAGAACCAGATTTTGGCACAAATTTAATCCAGACATGTTTAATAACATGAAAGAAACAATAGTTTAGCAGGGATTTTTTTAATACAACTATGTGAGTGTCATAGCTACCTGGCAAGAGCAACAGGGGGAATCCCATAATGAAGGCTATGTCATTTCCAACAGTTTATCCATCAATTTCCTTACAGGAATATTTGTGGGAAACAACCTGCTATAGGAGATGCATGAGATTTCATTGCAAACAATGATAAGTTGGAGTGGGGAAGATGATACAACAGGAAGCACAAAGCACTGATGCTTCCTGGTGCCGTTGCAGGTCCTCTTTGAAGGCAGTCTAATATCCCCAGCCACATTATAAAGAAGGAAGTACAGTGGTACCTCAGGTTACAGCCGCTTCAGGTTACAGACTCCGCTAACCCAGAAATAGTACCTCGAGTTAAAAACTTTGCTTCAGGATGAGAACAGAAATCGCAGGGTGGCGGGGTGGCGGCAGCAGGAGGCCCCATTAGCTAAAGTGGTACCTCAGGTTAAGAATGGTTTCAGGTTAAGAACGGACCTCCAGAATGAATTAAGTTCTTAACCCGACGTACCACTGTATTAGCACACAAGCATTGCTGTCTATGAATTCTTTAAAATGCCCAATTCAGCACACAAAAGTGTTGCTTTTAAAGAGGTAGGTGCAGATAGAGCCTTGAGAAAACATTTTGGAAGTGTAGCTAGGGGTTCAAGTCAGGCCAATTAAGAAAGGTGGGTGTTTTAAATGTTATCTTTTTATTTAAAATAAACAAAAATAATCCAGTAAGAACAAAATGCAATCTGCTTTTTAAATCAACAATGATGACTTAACATTCTAAGATTATCAGTTAATAATGGTTTATACAAATTGGTATAAATTAGGGAGAAAGGGAGGCAAGTACCAATCGACATCACCATCATGCTGAACATGTGGAAATGCCCTAGCTTACAATGAACACAGGAATTCTGAAATTCATGATCAGTAATATTTCCCCCCATTGAAAAACATAAGCTCTCTTTCTCCTAACAACATCATATATTGCAATCCATGGAGGTTTCCAAGTTTGACTGTTCCTTTATCTTCCCCTCAAGATCGCCTGCATTCTAAGCAACATAGGGCAGGGTTGGGGAAGAGATAAAATTCCAGAGAATGGGGATGACCTACATGAAAACTGAATTGAATTGCACTGTCCTTTGGTCTTTAAACAGTCTCTCCCTTCTGAACTAAATAACACTCTTGCAGCTATGTCCATTCACCTAGCTTCCTTATCAGAGATGGGAAATAAACAAGATAACTGAATGGCAGTCTTTCCAAAGAGTGTTCTTTGCTGGCTCGCAATAGGGCAAGCAAAAAAGCACGTAAAGTTGTCAATTCTGATGAAGGAAAACTCTCACACAGGGCGCTAGGAAACAGCAGCAAATGTTTTAGCAAGAGTCAGATAAGATTTTAGGGATGTGTTTTTTAGAGTTAAAAGTTTGTGATAGGGAATTCGTTTGACAGGAGATGGGAATCAGTTGTGCTCTATTATATAGGAGAAGATATATGAATGGAAACATTTGTGATGTACAAAACGTACATGGGAACCTAAATGCATTCCCTTCAAAATCACATTCCTGTGTTTCTTTCTCTCTCTTCTTCTAGCCAAGACTGTTGCTGTGAAATTGCCATGTCTCCTTTGTGCAATTTTATGGAGAGTCCAGACAACTTCATAAGCCAGTTGCAATCCTCCCATGTTTTCTTACCTTCCTCTACCTTTTTTAAAAAATAAAATAAAAAACCCACAGAAAATCTGCTAAGGAGGGGAAGAACAGAATAGCAGTTCAATCTCTTTGCAGGTATGGATGGTAAAATGTGTGATGGAGGCAGAGTGAGAAGAAATGTTCCCGGGGGAGGTAGATGACATGTTGGGACAGCCCCTCCTCCTCAGCTGCTTGCCATGAATTTCTGGTTTCAGAGCTGTTTCACATCCTGCACCATAAGTCCTTTTTCTCCTGATCTACCAGCTCTCTGCCTTAATTAATTGCTTCCTGTAATGAGGTTCCCTCAACCCACACAGTTCAAATAGTTATTTAATTAGTAGATTACTTTGAAAACATCAGTGCTTACTTCCTAGTACAGATGTGCAGGTGTCTCTGGCTAAAACCCTATAAGGCTGCAATCCATTAACCCTGGACTGCAGTCGGGCACAATTTGTTTTTAATGCAGTTATACTACAGTAGACTGACACAACTAACAAGGAAAAATCAAGGCTATAAATTTTCTTTCATATTGCAACACTGACCTGGATCAGGATATCTGATTAGGTTCCATTGTGAAATTAACTACACTGGGAAAAGGGCATTTCCAGGTGAAATCCATGGGACCTACAGCCCAATCCATAATCATGTTAATGCAGAAGATAAGCTGCAACCCTCTTGCCCTGAGCTGCAGGCATTGTCTTTTTTTAAAAAAAATACAACTTTTTTAAATTTTTTCAATTGTACTGCTTCAGTAACTGCACACAGGTAACAAATACAAAAATAAGGGGCTAAAATGGCACTGAGAAGCATCTGCTTCAAAATGTCAGAAGAGAAAGTGACGAATGAGGGGAAAGGAGAGGAAACAACAATTCTCACAAAGCTTTGTCTTGCCCATAGTTCCATGCATACAGGCCCCCCAAAAGGACAGACCCCTGAAGTGTGGATGGCTAATGCAATCCTGCTTGTAGTTTACAGCACTAGAGGCCCTCCATCTATAACAGTGGTTCTCAAAGGGGAGTGGATGGAGTGGATGGCAAGTGTGGCAGAAAGATTCAAGAACAATCAAATAAACATTTCGGTATAGCATAGCATAGCATAGCATAGCACAGCACAGCATAGCATACTTTCTGGATGTCCCAAGATAATATTATACGGTAGTTATGGTCTATGTTATAGATTAAGCACTGCTAGGAGTTTTTTTTTATTTTCCAATATATCTATTATGAATTAAAAATTTGGTGTGGCATGAGCAAATGTTTATTCTGAAAGAAATGAATTTGAGAAGCACTGATCTAGAAGCATCCACCCACCCACTCATTCATTCATACATACACACAAAATTGGCATTCTCTGAGGAAATATCTATGAGGCCAACAAACTTTTAGTTTCAAACATATTTAGCAAAAAAAATCATCCCAGTCCTTTTGGGATGGTAAGAAAGTGTCTTCCACTGGTACACATGAAGAAGATTACAAGCAAAAAGTCCCCACATGTTTCCATCATAACAGTGAATATTTCAAAACCTTGTGCAGAACTTTATACCAGGGATGGGGAAATGGATCTGGTCTGTGGGCTGGATCCCTAGCTCCCCAACATCCTCTGGGTCAAAGTTGACAGGTGGGTAGGGATGCCTAATTGTCAATCACCTGATGTCAGAATAATATCAGGTGATCCATGACATGGCACTTTAAAGTTTCCAATTGTTGAGTCTTCAAACCATTGTGCAGAGCTTCCTGCAAGTACAAAAGATCAGTTGATTGTTAATGCTTACAGAGTGCCTGTACAACACTTTGGAGTCCTTAATATCAGATAACAGTCAGGGCTGCAAAGTGCCATGTACAGCCCTCTGAAAGCACTGCCCATCTGCTGATCATCAGTGATTGTGAGAAGAAAAGAAAGAAAAGAAAAGAAAAGCCATGCAGATCACTTATTGGCTCAGCCTTGACCTTACTGGACCTATTTCTGACATCATACATGACGTCAAGTTTACGACAGGTGGCTATGGTTTCTCCTGGACAAAATGGGGAGGCCTGTCAGACCTAATTAGGCCCAATGGTCAAAGATTCCCCACCACTACTTCATACACTCCACTGATCCCGAAAGATAACTGTTGTCTTTGCAAAGTCTAAAGGAAAGACGGTATCACAGGTAAATAATACTCAACAGCCAGCGAGAGCAAAAGGATTCAGGCTGCATGATTAATTGGAAATACATAATATAAGATAATGTGTATCACCTTCACAAGGCAAAAGTAGGAGAGGGTTTTACCTAGCAGGCTTAAAACAGAAGACTTGTTACATAGGATCACTCACCTTGATGTATACGTCAAGGGCTGTGTGGACACGGTTCACTGCCAGATGGATGGACAGTGGAGTCGTGTAGGGAAAAGTTGCCATGACAACATGGCTAGGGGCTGGGAAGTTGATGATCTTGAAACCATACTTCAGAAACATGCGCACCACTTCCTCAGATGGCTTCTCTTCTCCTTCACTCAAGATGCTACCCACAAGATAGCGGCATTTCTCTGGATCCACCTTTAAAGAGAAATAAGGGCTGGCATTAGACAACAAAGGGCTTCAAAGGGCTCGTGATACTGTGTTTAAAATAATGGAATAATACCAGTCTTATCATTCAGTGATCCTACTGGCAGCTTAAGGCAGTGGTTCCCAAGCAATGTTCTGGAGAGCCCTAGGGTTTCTCAGAAGCAAACATTTCCCAGCATGATAACTTGCCTACCATTACTGACATTTATGTGCAGCCAAAGAAGAGTGCTTTACAAATTGACCCAGAGCCAAACAACACAGTTTTGAGAACCTTTAAGTCAAGATGGGACTCTGGGTGGTTTATTAAATTGTGCATCCAATTGTCATATTTGCCTGAAAAGGGGGTTGTGGGGAAATTGCAGTCAAATATAACTAGCAAGCTTAGGGCTAGTTAATTCATGAAGGGGTTAAAGGTAAAGGCAAAGGGTCCAGTTGTGGCCGACTCTGGGGTTGCAGCGCTCATCTCGCTTTATTGGCCGAGGGAGCCGGCGTACAGCTTCTGGGTCATGTGGCCAGCATGACTAAGCCGCTTCTGGCAAACCAGGACAGCGCACGGAAACGCCGTTTACCTTCCCACCGGAGCGGTACTTATTTATCTACTTGCACTTTGATGTGCTTTCGAACTGCTAAGTTGGCAGGAGCAGGGACCGAGAAACGGGAGCTCACCCCATCGTGGGGATTTTAACCACCGACCTTCTGATCGGCAAGCCCTAGGCTCTGTGGTTTAACCCACAGTGCCACCCGCGTCCCACATGAAGGGGTTAAGACCACAGACCTATATTCCTAGACTCAGTTAGGTCATGGGCCCTCGTCTCCAGAGAAGAAAGTAAAGCTTCTTTGTTCATTTTCTTTCACTATGTGAACTCATTGAGATAGGATGTGCCTGAGCTTGCCTACAAACTCAGACCATGTGCTTAGAGCTATTTCACTATATTTGTATCCCACATTGCTGCTGCATAGAATACTGTGCATAGAATGACTCTGACCTTTGGAGTTTGTAAGTAAAGCATTTCAACTTACGAACAGTGTGGTCTGTTCACTGAAAGATGGGTAGAGAGGGGAAGCACTGTAAAAATTGTGAACCATCCAGAACAAATTTGGGGGGTGTATAGGGAGAGGAGAGGGAGGGAAGTTCCACTGTGCAGTTGGAAGTCCTTGCTAAAATGGAACAACTTTGTTGGATGCACTCTATTCATTTAACATTGTGTGGTTTGGCCCTCAGTTTATGCAGGAATTTGGCAAATTCCTGCATAAACTTGAGGTATAGTTTGGTAACCTATGTGAACTGAGATGGTGACAAGGTTTCCCAAACTTAGGTCTCCAGCTGTTTTTGGACTATAACTCTCATCATCCCTAGCTAGCAGGACAAATTGGTCGGGGATGATGGGAACTGTAGTCCAAAAACAGCTGGACACCCAAGTTTGGGAAACCCTGCCTTAGCAGATGCCAAGAGATTTATTGGCAAGACAAATCAATGTTAAAGGTCACTCTGAAAGTTGGCATTTTGGAAGCCACTGCTTTAAGAAAGCAAAAGTTATTATTTTTACATTTGTTCAGTGCTTTTTACCATCAAAGCAACTTACAAAAGATCAAAATACAGAACTTCTGAAACATTTAAAAACCACAATGCAGAATAAAACATTAATGATAAACACTTCAACAGAAATATTGAATTGAGTCTGAGGGCTGCTTCACATATTGCATTTTCACCATATACATGCTTCACGCTTGCTGTAAGTGAAAGGCAAGCAAAAGCAAATTAGTTGTTTTTACTGCTGTTTGGTTCTTGAATACTGTCTAATAACCAATAAAAATTCAACCAGTAACTATACGACTAGTATTTATCAATATAGATTGGTTAATTGTGCCATATTACTGTTACCCTCTGCTACACAAAAATTACTTTTCTTTTTTTTTTTTTGCAATTAGATTTTTATTCAGTTTTTCTTTACTTATATTGGTTACAACATAATTACATATTTACACTTTTGGAGCCTCCACCAGCACCTCCACAATCCTCCATTGTTCTTATTTCCTCGCATTTCCTATATAATATTGCTAGCTTACTATTAGTTTACACCTCTCTAATTCTGTCTTGCAATATTCCTTACAGTATTACAAAGTCTCTTTGAATCCCACTAGCGTTGTTTGTTGATCACATATAGTTTCCAGATATGCCGCAAACTTCCCCCAGTCCTCAATGAATTTTTGATCCTTTTGATATCTTATTCTTCCAGTCAATTTGTCTAATTCGGCGTAATCTATAAGTTTCATCCTCCATTCGCTCAGAGTCGGCATTTCCTCCTGTCTCCACCTCTGGGCCATCAGTATTCGTGCCGCTGTCACAGCATATTGGAACAATTTATAGTCCCGTCTTTTTATCTCTCTTCCTATTATACCTAATAGGAAGGACTCTGGCTTCTTAACAAACGAATATTTAAACATCTTTTTCAATTCACAATAAATCGATTCCCAGAAACCCCTCACCTTCCTACAATCCCACCACATGTGGAAGAGAGATCCCTCTTTTTTCTTTGCATTTCCAGCACTTGTTACATGTCTTGTACATTTTTGACAGTTTTGCCGGTGTGATGTACCACCTGTACACCATCTTCATTATATTTTCCTTCAGTGCTGTACATGCAGTGAATTTCATATTTTCGTTCCATACCTTTTCCCAATCCTCTAGTTGTATGCTGTAACCAAAATCTCTGGCCCACTTAATCATGACCGACTTGATTTCCTCGTCCTTTGTTTGCCATTCCAAAAGTATTTTGTACATTTTTGAAATTATCTTAACATCATTATCAATTATATCTGATTGGAATTTAGACGCTTTTTCTATATATCCCCTTTCTTTGAGATCTTTATTAAACATTGCATTTGCCTGGAAATAGTGTAGCCAATCATAGACCTGATCCTTCACTTGTTCATATGGCTTAAATTTCCATTTCTCCCCCACTTTCACTACCAATTCACCATAAGTTATCCAGTTTGGTCTCATATTCGTTTTTTTTACCGACATTACCTCTAGTGGTGACAACCAATGCGGAGTTTTAAATTCCAGAATATTTTTGTACCTGTCCCAAACCTCTATTATAGAGCCCCTGATGACATGATTGGTGAAACCTTGGTGGGTTTTCTTCTTTTCCCGCCACAAATAGGCGTGCCATCCTGATCTATTATCATGGCCCTCTAGATCTAACAATTTATTATTCTTTAGTTTTATCCACTCCTTTAGCCAGCAAAGACAGGACGCCTCGTAATAGAGTTTTAGATCTGGCAGGGCAAAACCGCCTCTTTCCTTAGCGTCTGTCAACAGCTTGAATTGTATCCTTGGTTTCTTGCCCTGCCAGACATATCTCGAGAGCGTTCTTTGCCACTCTTTGAATACACTTGTTCCCCTGATTATAGGGATCATCTGGAACAAAAATATCATCTTTGGGAGCACACACATTTTGACCGCTGATATTCTGCCCCAAAAGGACAGTTTCATTCTACCCCAGGCTTCCAGATCTTTCTTTATTCCGTTCCACACCTGAGTATAGTTATTCTGATATAAATCGATGTTCTTGGGGGTCAACCATATTCCCAAATACTTTACTTTTTTGGCCACATCAATTCCTGATTCTCGTTGCAGTTCATCCACTAGAGTCTGATCTATATTCTTAACCATTATTTTTGTTTTTTTCTTATTTAGCGTAAATCCAGCCACTTTGCCAAACTGTTCTATTTCCTTCAATACCTCATTTAAGCTATTTTTTGGTTCTTCAATCGTTATTACTATGTCATCGGCAAAGGCTTTAATCTTGTATTCATTTTTTGCCGACTGTCACCCCCTTTATTTTATCGTTGTTCCTTATTGAACCCAGAAGGACTTCCAGGACTATTATAAATATTAACGGCGAAAGGGGACACCCCTGTCTAGTACCTTTCGATATCTTAAACTCTTCTGTATATATATTATTCACAATCAATTTAGCTCTCTGTTCCGAATAGATTGCCCTTATTCCGTTGTAAAATTCATTCCCCACTTCCATCATTTCTAAATTTTTCAACATAAATTCCCACGATACATTATCAAAAGCCTTCTCTGCGTCCACAAACATTAATAAGGCTTGCTTCTCATTCCTTACAGACAGATATTCCAAAATATTTATTATGTTCCTAACATTATCTCTCATCTGCCTGCCCGGAAGGAAGCCTGCCTGATCTTCATGTATTATTTCTTGCAATATCTTCTTTAATCTCTTTGCTAATATTCCAGCGAAAATCTTGTAGTCTGTGTTCAACAGAGATATTGGCCTATAATTCTTTACTTGTGTCAAATCAGAGTCTTGCTTTGGAATGAGTGTAATAAAGGCCTCTTTCCACGTTCCGGGGATATCTTGTTGTTGCAGTATGTTATTCATAACTTCCTTTATTGGTACTATTAGGGCGTGCCTCAGTTCTTTATAGTAGCTAGATGTTAGGCCGTCTGGTCCTGGTGCCTTCCCTTTCTTCAGTTCTTTTATTGTTTCTATTATTTCCTCATTTGCAATTGGGGTGTTCAGTCGGTCTTTCTTGTCTGTCGGGATCTTTTTCACACCTTTTTCCTTTAAAAATCTTTCTATTTTCTTCGTATTATTCTTTTCTCTATTATTATATAGATGTTTATAGAAATCCAAAAAACCTTTCCTAATGGCTTTGGGATTTTCCACTTCTTCTCCCTCTAAGATAATTTTGTTAATTGTGTTTTGTTCTTTCCTTTTCTTGATTTGCCACGCAAGCCATCTGCCGGATTTGTTAGCAAATTCAAAGTTTTTCTGTCGGAGTCTTTTGATGTTCCATTCCACCTCTTTATTAATAATCATTGCAAATTGTACCTGCAGGACTTTGATATTCTCTTTTATTTTTTGAGTTGTTTGGGTTCTTAATTAATTTTGTTTCATTGTCCATTATTTGTTTTAAGATCTCCTTCTTCCCTTTCTCCCTGTTCTTATTCTTAATCG